GGGAGATCATGTGTTTCTTCGAGTCACTCCGATGACAGGTGTTGGTAGGGCATTGAAGTCGCGCAAGTTGTCGCCGCATTTCATTGGTCCTTATCAGATTTTGCAGAGGATAAGAGAAGTGGCCTATCGTGTGGCTTTACCACCGTCGCTTGCTAATCTTCATGACGTATTCAATGTATCTCAGTTGAGGAAATACATTGCGGATCCGTCTCATGTAGTCCAATTAGATGATGTGCATGTGAGAGATAACCTGACTGTTGAGACATCACCTATGCGGATAGAGGATCGGAAATTGAAGCAACTTCGAGGCAAGGAGATTTCTTTGGTGAAGGTCGCTTGGGGAGGACCGGCTGGTGGAAATGTGACTTGGGAACTAGAGAGCCAAATGAGGGAGTCTTATCCAGAACTGTTTGAACCAAGTAACATTTTCAAGGACGAAAATTCCTAAAGTGGGGGAGGGTTGTAACAGCCCGAATTTCATTAAATAATTAATTATAGTAATTAATTGATTTAGTGGGATTTTTATTAATGTTGGAAATTAATTTTTATTAATTGGAATTAATAGAGAATTGAGAAGGAAATTGGAAGGAAGGAAAATAAAGGAAATATATAATAGAGAAGGAAAAGAAAAGAAAGTTAGAGAGAAACATTTGGAAAGAAAGAAGAAGAGAAAGAGAGGAGAAGAAGAGGAAAGTGGAAAATCATCAAGAACCAACATCAAAGCTCTGATTAATCGAGGTAAGGGTGAGAAATGTTTCTATTTGATCATTGCATGATGTTATATATGTTGGGTTGAGGTTTTGGTGTAGTTTCCATCCTTTTCCATTTAGGGCAAAAGTTGGAATAATCGGTAGAACTCAATTTAATCGGTTAAAATCTGAAATAGATGATGTAGAATAGTCTAGAAATGTTAAACTAAGAGTATTGGAATTGGATTGGTGAGATTGGAGTTTTTGGAGTTGGTTGAGTTGGATAACAGTAAGTGAAAAACAAAATACGCAGACACTCGCTAGCAGCTCGCTAGGCGAGCAGGTCGCGAATGCTCGTTCAGCGAACAAGTAGCGAATGGTCCCAGACTTGGACAAAATGGATTTTGGTGTGTTCGCTGGTAGCGAAAGTGTAGCGAAGAGATAGCGAACGATTCGCTGGGAAGCTCGCTGTAGCGAGCAGGTAGCGAATGAAGTCAATAACTTCCGTTGAGATTCGCTAGCACGTTCGCTAGGCGAACAAGTAGCGAATACTCGCTAGGAGTTCGCTTAGCGAAGGAGTAGCGAGTATGACAGGTTGATGTTTTATTTGAGATTTATCCATAGGTTGATTGTGTGGTTCGACTATGGTTTATTGCTTGATTAATCGCATAGTTTATGTACTATTGTGATATGCTGTGGGTAGCCTTCGGGCGTGAATCCTAGGTTTTGAGATGTGTATATTGTTTGTATTGATTGGAAATGCATGAGAACATAATAAAGGTTATGTGTGCATTGTCTGATAAATTGTGAATGCCTAATGTTGTATGCAATTGTGTGATAAGTATGCATGAGAACATTGTGGATATGTGTGCATGACTTGTGAATTACGTTAATGGTATTAATGTGAATACCTTGAATTGTTATGAATATGTTGTGTGTGCAATCATGTTGTAATTCTTGAAGAGATGAATTATTGGAATGCATGAGATTAAGATATCGGTCTTAAGTGCATTTGATTTTCGATTGCATATGCATCATTTAGTCAAGAGGCAATGCTTGCTAGTTTCGTGGAGACTAGTGACTTGTCCCAAACCTAGAAGAGTGGGTTTGAAGGCTTAGAGGACGGGCCTTTGTTGTTATCGGTCTAGAAGAGTGGACCCAGTTTAATGTAAAAACCGAAAAATGATAACGGGTTATTGGTCTAGAAGAGTGGACCCGATTTAATGTAAAAACTGAAAAATGATAACGAGAGTCGGTACCGCATTGCATGAGTTGCATTGAGTTGTTGAGTCACATTGATATATGACATATGCATGAAGAGATGCTTATATGTGAATGATAAGATTGTGGAAATGTGAGTGTATGCATGATGTGGGAATGTTTTGTGAATATTCATGTTGTTTATATATATGTGGTAAATATATATGACTAAGAGGGTGAATTGTGGTGAGAAATATGAAGTTGAATTATATGATTACCTATATACACATAATCTTATGCTTTGATTATTATGGTTATATTTCTCACCCTTCTGCTGTTTTATAATGCTCTACGAGGCATTGCAGATTAGGATGCTGGAGTTTTTTTGTGAAGTTATCTTCATTTTTTTGAGTCGGCTGCTCTGATGTAACACCGGGTAGTTAGACTAGTATAGTTATTCTTTTGTGATACATTGCGATGTATCAGCTGATGTGGTTTTGTAATTACCTGACATGATGTATCAATCTGGATATCCTATCTGTATGTGAATTAATATTTTAGAAATGATTAAATGATTTTATCTTCCGCTTAAATTTAAATGTTGAAATGTGATTTCTAAACCATGAAAATGTTACATATTTTATGGAGCAAATGTTAAAGTGTTTCATTGGTGAAATTGTGACATTCTTCCTTTATACCTTATTCTAAAATTTTCGCTCTGATAAATTTGTATATGCATTTATTTGGGGGTATAGAAGGGGGTGTTACAGCTTATAATCTATATGTTGTTGTTGTCGCGTAAAACTCCCTTGCAACCTGCCTTCTTGGTCCGAACCTTCGAGCCATTAGTGTAGAGTGTCAATCATTTGTTCTCAAGTGACTCCCACTTAATGTATCACATTTGGTGATTTGTTTGCATTCTTCGGGATGAGGCCTAGGATCTGCCAAGTCGAGGTCATGTACTCGTACTTTCAACTGAGCTCTGCGTAATAGAGGAATATTCCTCAACCAAGGGTAAAATCCTTGTCCCTTCCCTCCCACACTTGACTCGAATCGAGATGGACGTCTCCAGGCTCCACCACCTACTGCTTAGAAAAGAATCATCTGAGATTTATTAAATACATCTCTGCATAACTGATGCATCCCCTCGGGATAGTGTTTATTTTGTTCCATAATCATATTTATAAAGTATGTTTGTTAAAAAAAATCACTTATGATTTTTAATGTAACTTAATTATTTTTTTCATAGTACTTTCTAATTGATACAATTTATAGCTAGAATTTATATTATACCATTTCTTATTTTTTTCCTGTATATATTATAACAGAAATGTATTAACATTTTAGTTAAAATATATTAATTTACTTATTTTCTTTATTTATATATAATGATTAAATAAGACATTGAAGATTAAGGTTTTGTTTGGTAAAACTAACTTATACCTGATAGCTGTGAGCTGATAGATGATAGCATATAATTTATAGCTGATGACTGGTAGCGGGTAGATGATAGCATATAGCTTATAACTGATGACTGGTAGCAGATAAGTTAATTTTAGTGTTTGATAAATTAGTTGTTACATTAACTGATAATTATAAAATGATATAAAAAGACATTTTTAATTAAGAAATTTGTGATTTCATTATTTTATTATATTATATTATTAAATTTAATTTTATTCGATAAAAGTAAATATATTAATAACAACATGCAAAACAATTTTAATATTAATATATATGAAAAATTGAAGATATCATCAAAATATATAAATTTGTATATAAGTTTTGCTATTTAGTATGAATATATTGACAACAAAATTCAATGAATAAAATAACCAGTAAACCCTACACGAAGTAGGAGTATTTTATAAAGTCATTCATGAGGACATAAAGTAAAAGTAATCATAATACCTACATTTCTTAGTCTGGTTAACTCATCCTTTCGTAAAATATATATTTTTTCTAATTTTATAATGAAATTTAATAAAATACGTGAAACAATAATATTTTAATTTTGAATTTAGTTATATTAATCTAAAATAATAACAACAATAAATGTATTATCTAATATTTTACAATAAAACTGTAATAATATTCTGAATTTTCTTCACCTTTGTTGATTTTATTGATTCTCCTGATTTGAGAATTATAAACACTATTTCTAAATTAATTATATAATTTATATTTAATAAATAAAAATAATGTCTAATAAAGTAGAAAAAATCTTCTATAATATTTTTCAAAATCTCCATATATATATATATATATATATATATATATATATATATATATATATATATATATATATATATATATATATATATATATATATATATATATATATATATATATATATATATATATATATATATATATATATATATATATATAAAATAAGGATATAATTAGAATAAAAAGTCATAAGCTAAAAATTACAAACTCAAAAACTATTTTAAATAATTTAAAAAAAAAAATTAAAAATTAATTAAAAAACTATAAACTAAAAGGTAACAAATAGTCAGTAAACAAAATTTTGTAATCAAAATAAATTGAAAAGCTAAAAACTCTTTTTTTCTAGTCTTACCAAATAAACTATAAATTATACAATGTACTAATAGAATAAATAACTTTTATTACAAGTTATATAGACCAGATGATTAAATTTTACTATTAGTTAATAAATTCCACACAAAAACGAATTTCAAAAAAAAAAAATTTCAAAATTTAAATACAAGTTGCAAATTCTATTGACACATCATATGAATTTGTAGAATTGAATTCGAATCTATTTTAACTCACAAATTAATACACACCTTCATTCTCTCTTCTCTATAAACTTTGTCTTGCTAGTAAACTTTTCTCTATCTCATCTTCTCTATTACTTGTCACATCACTCTCTTTTACTTCTTTCCTCTCTTCTGCACTTACCTTAACTTTTTGTTTCTTGTTTTCTCCTCTAACTGATAACTCTCACCGTCAACTTTCTAGCATTAACTACTTAATTACCTTTTAATTAAGAGCTAGATCAAGTTTCCCTTTCACTTAGAGATCCATCACTTGCTCAAAGGTTACTTTATTTTATTAGTCTTTCAGATCCATTCATTTGTTGCTATGGATTTAGAGTTTCAATATCAAGAAGTATGTGTACTTTCTCTTACACTAATATCTTACAATAATTAATCATAATATACTTCCTCTAAATAATATATATTATGCATATTAATACTATATACTATTAATTTTGTATGTATATGTAACATGCATTAGGAGTTTTGGAGAAACTCAAGAGGAGTGCAACTTTTCACCTGCAAATGGTTGCCATTGTCTTCTCCAAAAGCTCTGGTTTTTCTTTGCCATGGTAATAAATTAGTTTTTTATTTTTTGAAATTCTAAAATTCTCTCTCTATCTTAGAAAAGTGTGATTTTATTTCACTTCTTCTTCATTAAATATCTATTGCAGGTTATGGTATGGAGTGCAGTCGTTTCATGAGAGGTAATAAATGTTCTTCCATAACATGTTTATTCCTTTTCTCTATTTCTCTATTCTTTTACATTTGAAGTCGGTTTAAAGATAATGCTGAGAAAAATGAGACTATCATTTTTTTTTAAATAAAATATTATTACTTTCCAAAAATAGACATTTGAATCACCAAAAATATACATTAATTTTTATTGATTCAAATATTTTTTGTTTATAAAAAATGAGTAATATAATAAATTTGAAAAATAAACTTTAATTTATACTCCCTCTCTCTAATCACTATTATAAACAAAAAAAAATCACCTTAAATCTTTGTTACCATTATAAACAAACATTATTAATTTTTAGATTAATTAATATTTGTATTACTATTATATCTTTAATTAATTAAAAAATATTTAATATTGATAATTAATTTAACATATATAACTAAAGATATTATAGTAAAATTTTCTTTTATTGTATATTAAATCCAAAAAATAATAATTACATTTATTTACTTATGATTATAATTGTGAGGGAAGAAATATCTTATTTTAACATAAACATAAATATTATTATGTGATGATTATGTTTTTTCTACTTAGTTACTTGTCATTTTCTAGCAGGTAGTTGAGCCTCCAATGGAAAAATAAAAGACATAAAAACTAATTTGATAAAAGTTGAACATCCTATTAGAAGAAAAAAATGTTAAGATAAAAATACTAGTTAGGTGACCAATTTGGTGTCTACTAATTAGGTGACCAATTTTGCCATAATACCCTTATTTTTATCCTTAATTATTTTACAAGTTTTCTTTTTTTCTCATTTTACAAAAAAGTCCTCCCTCCCTATAATTAGCTCAACCAACAAAAGTAGAATATTGAAATGGTGGTGAATTTGAGTTGAGTAGCAAGAATGTAGAGTGTCAGTGTTGTTGTATGTTGTTTCAGTTAGGTTAATCAATTCTGAGAAACAACCTGGGGAATCGTTACCTGCAAGAAATTGGTACTAGTAGTAGGTAATAGTACTGTGAAGTTTTGATTATGTATTTAATACAACCATGCCATTTTCCAATGGAAGGGAACATTAAAGGACTCTTATAGTGATAGTACTTCCGGTAGGCCATTCCATGTCCTCACATTTTCTCCACCAAATTTCAAGGCTTGGATTAATATCATTACGACATTTTTATTTTATTTTAGTATATTTTAATTAATATTGTATCACTTTGAATATTATGATTCTGCAGAATGTGGAGTGAGGCTAGCTTGTGCTCGATATGCCGTGTATGGTGTTGATTACGAAGGACATGGACGTTCTGAAGGTGTTCGTTGTTACATTAAGAGCTTCGATAACATTGTTAACGATTGCTATGACTTTTTCAAGTCGGTTACTCGTACGAATTTTCACAACCTTCACTAATTAGTCCGTTGATCAATGATTATGCAGTTTGTTGATGTAGATTTTAGTTTCATCTTTCGTTTTTGTTTGCATTTGCGTTTATTTTTCAGTGCTCCAAGAGTATAAGGGAAAGTGTAGGTTCTTGTATGGAGAGTCCATGGGTGGAGCGGTTAGTCTTCTCTTGCATCAGAAGGACCCTTCTTTTTGGGATGGCGCGGTACTTGTCGCGCCCATGTGTAAGGTAGTTTTGACTGTTATAATTTATTGACAGTGTAAAATTTTTTTTCTTCTTATTCGTAGTAATAATATGAAATGCGGTTTATCTTATGCAAATGTTGAAATGATAAACTAGATATCGGAGAAGGTGAAGCCGCACCAAGTGGTTATTAACATATTGACGAAAGTAGAAGATATTATACCAAAGTGGAAGATTGTTCCAACCAAAGATGTCATCAATTTAGCCTTCAAAGATCCAGCTAAACGCGAAAGGGTGAGATCTTTTTCTCTTTACCTTACAATGAGACCCCCCGATGTTTTGCCACAGTTGAATCGTGACTAACTAACACAGGGCTACCAAAAACTTAAGACAGCGTTGCTGACGTGCCTCTTTTTTTGAGTGTGATTGCAGATAAGGAAAAACAAGTTGATATACCAGGACAAACCAAGGTTAAAAACCGCATTAGAGATGTTAAGAACCAGCATGAGTCTTGAAGACACATTATACAAGGTTAATTATCTATGCATGCATTTATCCAACACGAAACTTTGGATTCATATTTTGATCCAATTTGGCTGAATTTTGAGCAGGTGACGCTGCCGTTTTTTGTAATGCATGGAGAAACAGATACCGTGACAGATCCAGAAGTAAGCATAGCACTATATGAGAGAGCCAGTAGCAAAGATAAGACCATTGAACTGTATCCTGGAATGTGGCATGGTTTAACATCCGGCGAGCCTGATGACAACATCGAAAAGGTCTTCGAAGACATTATAACATGGCTAGACAAACATGCCAACAGTAACAGTGTCGCTTTCGAGTCTTTGAATCCAACAACTGAGACTTATAACTACGACATTGAGAAATTGACACCAAATACTATTATGAAGCAAACTCATAGGCGAAAAAGCTATCTTTGTGGATTGAAAGGAAGTCGTTTGTTACATCACTCGGCAAACTAGACTGTAATAATTCACACTTTCTGGTTGGAACTGTTATGTTGCTATATAATTGTTTACTATCGACATGTTTTCCATTTTGCGTAATTTCAGTATGTTATGTACCCTTTCATCTTTGTTTTTTTGCACCTTGCAACAATAAGTCAATAATATATTGTTATGCTGATTTAAGATCTTCTATACATAAATTATCCTACGGAATCTGTCTAACAAATACCACAAAATAATTTTAGTATAATGTGATTAAGAGTCATCGAGTATTCGCAACCAGTCATCGGCTATAAACTATCAGATATCAGTCATCGATTGCAAATTATTAGCTAGCTTATGAGATACTAACTATTTTTAGCGAACAAAGCCTAAAATTATAATGCAATAATCTTCTAATTATATGAAAAAACATTTAGGATTGCATGTCATAATATATACATAGATCAAACAGCATCAAAGTTCCAATCAACAACACTAATTCAACAAAAATCAACATTCACACATATGCTAAACTTTGTTTATCACATTTTTGAACACATTTTTCATTGCTTATTTCTGTAACCTTAATTTAGAAAGCAATATAAATTTCAGTTATCCATTAATTTAAGAACTTCTATGGATCAATAATAATACTTTCAAAACCTGTAGAAGCAAGTTTGTTAACAAGAGCAAGAGCGTTACTTGTTATATAAGAAACATTCTGAACCTTATTTTGCAGCAATTTAATTTGCCTTTCATTCTTACCTTCAAATCCATCAAGACAAGTATCTTCATCAGTAAGTGCTGAACTAATCCATGTATTAAGATCTCCCATTTGTGTGCTAAAAGTCTTTTTGTTTAACCTTCTAAGCACATCAAGTGATTTATGAAGCTCATCAAGTGCATCGCCAAAAGTTTCTATACAATCTGAAAGCGCGACTTTGTTTCTTCCTTTCATGTTCGCACTCCTCTTTAACTTCGTAAGATATGCTTGAACATTCTTAACTTCGCTTATTGTAACGGATACGCCCGCACGCGCCCATTGGCTCGGGGTTCTTCCTACGTTAGAGAATTGTGCTAGTGTGTGGATGCATAGGTTTTTGTACCTTGTGACACTACATGCTTCCTTAACATTATTGTTGTTGTTTCCTTTTGGATATACCATTTGGCTAGTATTTGTTGAGAGTGAAAGAAATATTGATATTGTTAATAGTAACATAAGGCGTAATGTTATGAACATTTTGTAATATGTAGAATGAGAATGAAGAAATTGGAAGAAAATGAAGGGAAATATAGTTTGGTGCTAATGGTATTAAGAAGAGAGGGAAGAGTTAGGAAAGAATATATATAGTAGAATTGGAAAAGTGTGTGAGAATGTTAGATTAGGTTTTAAGGTAGGCTTTAAATGGCAACATCATGCAATGTCTAACTTTTTGGAACTTTTTCTTTTGAGGAGGGTGTGTTGTGTTGTGTAGGCAAGTGGCTATTGAATGCATTTCAAAAGAGGGATATGGAGAAAGTGTGTAGTAACACGTGAGAGGAAGGGGAGTGAGTTTGCTCACTTCTTGATATGAGTTGCTACTACTTTATAAGATGATTCAATTTTAGTATCGTGGAAGTTTCTTCTTTCTTTGTTGATAAAGGTTACCATTATCAAGCAATGGGAACTAATGTGTATCATATGCTAATTTAGAAAGAGGTGGAAGATCCGTTTGCTCATCATGTATTACTTGTTTGGGATAAATTGGTTTTTTTGAAGGTGGCTTTATATGTTTTTGGCAGTTTAAAAAAAATAGACTCACCGTAAAAGATAATTCAGCGCGGCGAAATTTTATCCATTTCAAAGTTGTAAGTATATTTTTCGGCGCCATCATATTTAATGTCATGTCCGAGATATGTTTCTTCTCCTCCCAAATAAGGCGACATATAATGGGATGACTGACTAGCTTGTCACTCAAGACATGATTATGTATACCAGAAACCATATTAAATTTTCATGTATCATTCGTCTTACAGTATCCACGTAATTTAAACGGACACTCACATTTTCTCGATCTAGTGTCATCACATTTCAACTTGCTAATTAGTGGTTGGTACGTGCCAATTCTTTCGCATCTCATTGTTACAAGTGTTTCTCTTTTATCAAAACCATTGTCAGACCTACTGATTACAACGCCAAACTCTAATTTGACGGCCTCCATGCAAATCCATTGTAGCATATGTTCACAAACAATAAACTCTAGTTTATTTGTATATTGTTCACGAACATCTACCCCGACAACAACCGACCTAGCACCCGGTTTAACATCATTTGGTTTAACATCATCTTTCACTTCATCCGATTTAACATCATCATTCACTTCATCCGGTTTAACATTCATCCTCACAATAGTTTTAAAAAACATATTCGGATTCATCATATCTAATACCAACAATAACAGAAAAACAGATTAAAAAACTCAAAGTATCAGGCACATCTGAAGATGGATCTTTAGAAAAAGTGAAACTGAATCCGGCGATACATATTTGGACTCACCATATCTAATACATATTGTTGATGTGATAAAATACAAAAATGATGTTTTGTTGTTGAAAAATTGATTGAAAATGGAAGAAATTTTTTAAGGGTTTTGAACGTGAATCTCTCCTCGATTACGAGGGAGAAGAAAGTGGCGTTTTATCCAATTATCCATTTGACGTTTTCAAACATGCATCTCCGACTCCGTGAATAAAAATATCATAAATGAGTATAAGAGGTGTTACAAAAATACATCTCTAGATACACTTCAAATAATATTTGAAGATGCATCTTCATAGTAGATTTTGACAAAAATAAGATGTGTGGCCGAACTATGAAGAACTGATGTGATTTTAACTGCGTTCAGATATACATCTTTAAATAAAGTAAAAATATTTTTTAATTTTCAGAAATGTGGAACACACTTTTTAAAATGGAATAAATATTCTTCAATCTTATGGGTCAACGAAGATTGAACCTTGACCAAAATTAAAATAACATTTTTTTAATTGTTTTGAACTTCAAAACTATTGTCAGTGTATAGTAATCAATCTCTTAATCAATATCCGCGAAACATTTTGACTGGTGCTGGTGATGGAAACATTTCTTTTCGTGACATAGAACATTTTAATTGATTCTGTATCAATAATGTATTTTCATTACAGAGCCATTAAATATGTTTCATTGCATTTATAGTAAGACTTAATTAATGTCTAAATACCATGCATGCCACAAACCAAAAATATAAATGAAAAAAATGAAACCATCACGGTAAGAACAAGACGATGAATGAGAGCTTAATAATTTTAATTTGATTTCCACAAATATGTCATGTTAGGCTTATTTATATGAAATCTAATGTAATTATTTTTGTTCTGGACAATGGAAAATATGACAAGAAGAAGTAAGATAGTTACGTGCCTAACTCAAACCCAAAAACTAAATTCTTCAACTAATTAAGTTATAGAGACATTATGCAAATCTTAATTTGTTAGAAAGTGTCCATCTGTGTGTTTGCTTCAGTTTATTTTAAATTATTTTTCTTTTAAAATATTACATTGATTATTTTTAAAACTTAATTGATTTACATTAAATAATTATAAGGTTAAATAAATTTGGAAACCCTAAATATATCATATTTAATTTTAGTTTTATATAAACTTATTTTAAATATATTTTGTTAAGTCAGTTTAATTGGTAGTTGTTTAGAGATATCAGATACATGAACGTTGGTTCGAACCTACAACATCTCACTTGTTCATCTTTAAATGGTAAATTTCTTCTATATGGCTACCTGATAAAAAAAATTCTTTGGGTTTGCCTTTGCAGAGATCATAAAGCACCTCTTTGTATATCTTTTTTATATTTTTGTATTTATATGTTTTATAATTCACTAACCATAATCAAAATACAAAAAATATGTCTTGTCCCTTTTGTTTCTTTTGCAAGGTAGAGTTTGGAATCAAGAGTATCAAGTGCTTGTCTCCTCATCTAGGATTTGAGTTCCTCAAGTCAAAGTGTGGTCAACCATTGATTTTCAAAGTCTATTCATCAAAGCATGACCTCTAATCACAAAGCATAGGATCTCAAGCATCATTTAACTTCATTTGATCAAAGATATTTCAAAGTTTGATAGCTTGTTTCTCAAGAAACTTCAAAGGTTCATGTGTGTATTTCCATGCCTTCATTAACAAGTTTTCTCAAGCCATTGCAAGTTTAGTCAAAGAAAATTCAAGAGTACATCATTTTGAATTCACATGCTCATCAATGTACCTTAAAATGTAAGAAAAGTTCAAAGGTTGCAAGATCATTAAAAGTTCTTTGACCTAAGAAGTCAACATTTCAAGCCCATGTTCAAAATATCGCAACTCACTTATTTTTCAACATTTTTTAGTGTTTCCTTGGGCAAACCATTGATTTTCAAAGTCTATTCATCAAAGCATGACCTCTAATCACAAAGCATAGGATCTCAAGCATCATTTAACTTCATTTGATCAAAGATATTTCAAAGTTTGATAGCTTGTTTCTCAAGAAACTTCAAAGGTTCATGTGTGTATTTCCATGCCTTCATCAACAAGTTTTCTCAAGTCATTGCAAGTTTAGTCAAAGAACATTCAAGAGTACATCATTTTGAATTCACATGCTCATCAATGTACCTTAAAATGTAAGAAAAGTTCAAAGGTTGCAAGATCATTAAAAGTTCTTTGACCTAAGAAGTCAACATTTCAAGTTCATGTTCAAAATATCGCAACTCACTTATTTTTCAACATTTTTTAGTGTTTCCTTGGGCAAAAGACTCTTCTTGACATCCTTTACAAGATATTTTTACAAGTCAATAACCAATTATGTTTGAAAGATCATCAAAAGTTTAAAAACATTAGAGGTCGCGTTGTGGACTTAGTGAAATTTGACATAAATTCAAGTGTTATTTTCATAACTTCCAAAGATCATAACTCTCTCAATTTTCAACTTTCGTGGGTGATTATTTTTTCCAATTATCATATTTGATGCCCTCTACAAGTTTGTTTCAAGGATCAAAGGTCAATTATGCTTGGATAGTCATGAAAAGTTTGAAGATATTATAAGTCATTTTGGACTTAGAATTTGTTCCGGACTGACCCAATGGCTAGGCATGGTCCAATCCACTTCTGCGTCAGGAACGACCCAATTGCCTAAGTCCAACCAATATGGGGGAGTATTTACCTTTTTTCCCCTCCACCAGGGGAGGTTGACCAATTTACCCTAGGGTCAGTACTTTTCCTCGTCAGTCCTTGCCCGTCACGCACGGTTCCACCATCCAGAAACAGTCATGAGGCTTGTGCCCGTTACTATGTCTCTGCCCGTAGCAACGACTATCTCTGGGCATCTCTACCAGTCCCAACGAATAGTTTCTGGCAGTTACCTATTCTTCGAGAAACGGTTATCAATGGCCAAGCTCTGATGACACTATAAAAACCCTCTAATTTGAGATGACCAGGTATTCAATATTCCCCCTGACACACATACTATGTACTTGCCTTCTTTCTCCTGATTCTTACTTTAACGTTGAAGTGTCTTGCAGGTACGCCCCTCTCCTTTTCTTTCACACCCAGCATCATAGACGTTGTTTTTGGCCCACTTTAGGTTCTGATTTGCCGTCAAGATCAGTGGCGTCGTCTGTGAGAAACTTTGTTATCCCCGTCTTTCTTCCATCGTAGATTCGAGACCAAAACAGTTCTTCCAAACTCCATTCATGGCCAGCCGTGACAACACCTATGATGCTCGCAACTCTGCCTACCTCCCCATCAACAAGACTGATACTGACGGAGCAATAACCTCTCTTAGGGGCGACGCCCACCAACAAAGGGATGGAGACATCGTGTCCCCCTCCCCCGTTTGCGCTGATCACAATGAGGTCCAGCTCATCCCGGACCACCTGTCATTTCCAATTCTGCCCAGCACCGACCCGACCATGATGACCCTTCTCGAGGCTCTCAACAAGACCAGCCTCCTAATCCTTCATCAAAACGCGAGGATTGGAGTCTTAGAAGATTCCAGTCGTCCAAGATCCCCTCTATCGAGGAAAGAGTGTCAGAGATCACAGAGTCCTCCTCCCCGGCGCGAAAGAAACTTTTGGGCATCTCCAGAGCCAATATTCCATACTGTCAGAAAGCGCAACCACATCTCTCCTCAGAACCAGCATTCTCCGTGACCCAAGAGGACCAGAAGAAATCAACAAGCAG